CTGTGTTATAAGAAATGAGTGGAACCACATCAAGTATTATATTTTCTCATAGGAAAAAAAAGTCCGATTTTGAATCCTGTTTTGAAAAAAACATTGCAACTAAATTTAAAACATACATGGAGACCAAAATAGTTTTCTATTTGAGCTACATAAGTAAAGTTAGCATAAAGAAAAATTTAAATTCCAAGACTTCCTGATAATATTACTTTGATGTTTAATTTTATTATTGTGGGGTGTGTCACAGCATGTGTATGGAGGTCAGAGGACAACTTTGTGAAGTTAACTCTCTGCACCTTTACATGGGTTTTGGATTGTGTCATCAGGCTTGTGTGCCAAGCGCTTTACCCAGTGAGTACCCAGTGAGCCCTCTCACCAGCCTATCTGTTCATTACACTATCTCTTGTTACCATTAAATAACTCTCTTCTGCATTAAAACAAACTATATCTCCCTGCCTAAAGTAACACTAAAGGCCTTTTAAAAATAAGTCATATGGAAACCTATCAGTATAGAAGCTTCTTAAATTATAAAAAGCCAATGCCAGGAATGGACTTCCTCTTTTGAAGCTGTTCATCAGGGGTCCCACAGACCCTCAAGCAATACTGGCCATTGCCCCTGCTTTTGGTTACCCACCAGAACTTGATGGGAAGATACCTGTTCCTGAAGGAATGTGTGAGTTGTAGAAGAAAGAAAAATCTAACTGCCAATGACCTCAAAGCTTCATCTCTACTGGCTAGCTTTCATAGTGCTAGAAGGTGCTATGCATGCTACTGGAAAAGAAAAGTAACCATCAACCTTGTCCAGCTGTGAATCCTGCAAGCTATAACAGCTGGCCTGGCAAGACATGCCCATTGGTACAATAGTGGCATGAATATTATGGGAGTAACCAATCACTTTCTGATTGGATTTAATGGCCTGCTTCACAAGACAGAGCCCATAGCCTGATATCAGGCTTAGGAACCTGTGGTTAGACAGGTCACAAGCCATAGGGGAGAGCCTACTACTATAATTCTGCTAAATGGACTTAACATTAAACGAACTCCTAAAGACTTCTTGCATAAATTAATGTGTTTTTCAACTCTCACCAGCTAAGCTTCCTCATGCAACAGATGACCACAGGGAAACAGGTTTCCAGACAGCTGGGCAGATACATGAACTCACAGTAATGTTGAGAGAATGCACAAGACCCACATAAGCTCAAGACAGAAAAAAATCCCAGCATAGAGGGGGAGAAGTGGGTAAGCAGCCACAACCCTGAGGAACTACTGGCATCTGATAGCTGCTGGAAGAGGGAAAGTGAGTAGGTTAACCAGGTTCCAGTGAATAGATCCACACTGAGGGGCATTTGAGGACACAAATTAGACTGGATAGGCCTTAAAACATATATACAATAGAATACATGAAATCGGGTTGTGGGTAGTTAAGTGAGGGTGCAGATAGGGGAGGGGGTTGAAATACGATCAAAACACATTGTATGAAATTCTCAAAAATTCATTTTTAAAAAAAAGGTTTCTCCTGTTACTAAATTGGTATATTCAATTTCTTCCCTACTTACTTTACAGCAATACGTAACAACAAACACAAATGGAAAGTTCTCCTAGTAAATACTATATACCCAACTTCTTAAACTGTGGGTCATGATCCTATATGGGTTGGTGGAGCTGCTTGTAGAAGTCATGAAAAATTTGGCAAGAGTAAAAGGTTTCTAAATGCACAATAACCAAAATCAATTCGGAATCAAACATACCATGAATCCAACATGTTTCTGGCTGCACTCACCAGTACTGTTATCACGTGACTTCACTGCAGCCTTGGTTCCAAACTCACATTCTGCATGCCATGTCACACCACACAACACCAACAAATGGAACCTTAAACACCTCAGTTCAGATTCAAGACTATTGTGTGTCATGAAGTACAATGCTATTTTTTTACTGTACATAAAGTTTTCTGTTCTTATAGAAACATAATGGCTTAATTACAGAAAATAAAGTCTTTCAATATTTTTCTGCTATTCCTTATGTGTATCAACTTAGTATATTATTAGAATACATCATGTTAGAATGCTTTAAAAAGTGCTGCTTGAGGCTGGAGAGATGGCTCAGCGGTTAAGAACACTGACTGTTCTTGCAGAAGCCCTGGGTTCGAATGCCAGCACATAACCCTGGAGTCACATAAAAGTTTCTCAGGCAAAAAGAGGTCACGAGTGGAAAAGCCCAAGAAGTTCAACTTTATACCATCCCAATAATACAGACACAGTCTTAAAAAGTAGGTGATGTATTTATTTGCATAAAATCTAAGGATAGGCTTAAAATCCAACATAATATCCTATGAGGCTTAAACTCTAATTACTGATCCAGGTTTTAATGTGTTTTGGTTTCCTGTACTTGAGGACAGTACTATTTTATTTGCTTCATTTACATGTGCTGAAATATAAACACTATACATCTTCAGTTTTCAAAGAACAAGTGTCAAGTCCAAAAAAGTCTTTTTTGATGATGTAACGAACACACTGCAAAATCACATTCCTTTCATGTCGAATGTCTGGAGCTAGAAGCTAAAAAACAAATAAAGTAAGATTAGCTTGTTTAAAAAAATATACCCCAGAAACACAACCTAAAATATCAAGCCTATCCTCTTCCCATAAAGAACATAGAACAGAAATTTTCTAAAATACACTATAAGCACATTTCATTTTCCTTATACTGACTATTTTAGCTTTCTAAACAGCACAAATGCTCACCATTCAGGTTTCCCTCTTGGAATATCTAGCAAAAGGCAAGAAGACAGACTTAAAAGTCATCATCTTTACTCTAAAAAAATCCTGTCATTCCCTCACTGGATTCAGTGGTGGCAGTGGCCCAGCTCACCTGTGCACTCAGCTAGCTACTTGGGAGGCATGAGGATCACTTCAGCCAGGAATTCCTGGGCTGAGTCATATAAGACTTCATACCTTAATTTATTTTTAAAGATCTGTTTCCTTTTTATTTTATGTTTATGTCTGAATGCTTACATGCAGGTATGTATGTGTACTACATGTGTGCAATGGCCACAGAAGTCAGAAGAGGGCATTAGATACTCCGGCACTGTGAGCTGGACCTGGATCCTCTCAAGGGCAGTAAGTGCTCTTAGCTGCTAAGCCATCTCTCCAGCCCCAAGACACCTCATCTTTAAAAAATAATTTTTAGCGAGGCATGGTGGTGCACGTCTTTAATCCTAGCACTTGGGAGGCAGAGACAGGCGGATCTCAGTGAGTTCAAGGCCAGCCTGGTCTACATAGCAAGTTCTGGGACAACCGGGGCTACAGGGAGACCCTGTCTCAAAAAGACTAAAAAAAAAAAAAAAAAAAAAATTTAAGCTGGGCATGTCGGCACATGCCTTTAATCCCAGGACTCAGGAGGGAGAGGCAGGTGGATCTCTGTGAGATAGAGGCCAGCCTGATCTACATAATGAGTTCCAGGCCATCTGGGGCTACAGGGAGACCTGCTTCAAAAAACAAAAACAAAAAACCCACTCAAATAATAGTTTATTATAATCATTAAAATAATAATAAGTGGGGGCTGGAGAGATGGCTCAGTGGTTAAAAACACTGGTTGTTCTTGCAGAAGATCTGGGTTCAAATCCTAGCATCCACATGGCAGCTAACAACTGTCTGTAACTCCAGTTCCAGGGAATCTGACAGCCCCTTCTGACCTCCGCGAGCAATGCACAACATGGGTGCACTTACCTACATGCAGGCAATACATGCATACACATAAAAAAAAATTTTTTTTAAGTTTAAAATAATAAGTAAATAAGAAATAAAGAGCATTCCCTAAAATCCAAATCTATAGTTATAAAAACTAAACATGCTAATTCAGTTAACAACTGAATGTAGTTATTTTTAAAAAACACTGAAGAAAATGATAGGTGTTTGGATGGATAAATGAGAGGGATCTGACTAGACTCCAAGTGGATGGACTTACACAGGGGAATGTCTGGGGACACTGACTTGACACAGTGGCCTTTAACACCCAGGACAGAGTTATATGAGTTCCAGTGGGGGGGGGGGGCGCTATGGGAAGCATCTGGTGGGGATAGGGCTATAAAGATGATTCAGATTGTTTGAGGTATTCTGTATGAAACACAACAAAATTTAATTAAAAAAAAAAAAAAAAACCCTCAGGGGCTGGAGAGAGGGCTCAGCGGTTAAGAACTTGCAGAAGACCCAGGTTTGAATTCCAGCACTCACATGGCAACAAACAACTCTCCATAACTCCAGTGCCAGGGGATCTGACAGCCTCTTCTGTCCTCCACAGGTACTGTATGATATGGGTGCACTTACCTACATGCAGGCATAAAACACTCATACATATAAAATAAAAATAATAAAATATTTAAAAAAACCTTCAACATTCTTTGATTTTCATAACTTCCCATTTTTGCAATTATAACTGAAAAAAAGCTAAAAGCCCTGGTATTCAGAAAAGTCCATAACCAAGGAATCACATATTATTTGTCAAAAAGGAATTTATTTCATTTTAGATTTTTTTCTGATGTTAATAATATAGATCACAAACATCACTCATGACCTTCACTGGAAAGATGATTTAATTTAGTTCCAGTAAGGGAAACAAACTTCAACTGACTATAGTAGATAGCAGTGATAGTTACAAAACAGAGTGTATTTCAGATCCATCGTAACAATAAACAAGCGTATGTGCACATGCTGCACCTCACAGGACAGAGAATGCTACCTACAGCATATAAGTCAAAAAGAGACATTTCGCAGGACACCAATAGTTTTACAATTTCAATGAAATGTGTCTTACTTTCATTTCCATTACTTAGAAACGAGACGCATTGCTCTTTTTATAACTTGAAGAGTTTATTAAATTTGAGTAGATAATGCTGTTAAGTCATTAATGCATAAGATAAACAAACAAATAAAGGTAAAGATTGTGCATAGACAGGAAATGAGAATCATTAAGAAACTTTGGGGTAGCTGGGCATGATGGCACACCCCGTTAAGTCTCAGGACTCAGGAGGCAGAGGCAGGTGGATCTCTGTGAGTTCAAGGCCAGCCTGGTCTACATAGTGAGTTCCAGGCCAGCTGGGGCTACAGAGAGACCCTGTCCCAAAAAGACAAAACAAAAAAAATAGAAACTTCAGGTCTTTTCTTGCCATTATTTACAGTTTTCATTAGGTGTTTGTATTTAGTACAAAAAACAAATTTCTTTTCCTTCAGTTTGCCACTGTATTGAGGTGTGCTTTCAATGAAAACTGTAACCTCAACACATAACTTTCTTATCCAAGTTAAAAACCCATGCCAGGGGGATGGAGAGATGGCTCAAAGGTACTGGCTACTCTTTCAGAGGACAGGGTTCGATTACCAGCACCTACATTGCAGCTAACAACCATCTATAGCTCCAATTCCAGGGGAATCCAACATCGTCTTCTGACCTCCACAGGCATAGTAAAATGCCTGTAACTCCAGTTCCAGGAGATCCAACACCCACTTCTAATCTCCGTGGGCACTGCACAACACGGGTGTCACTTACATACATGCAGGCAATACAGTAATACACATAATAATAATAAAAAAATACTACTATATTGATATTAAGCAGTGCTGAAAACTACAATTATTTTACATTTACTGAATATCAGCTCCATGCCAAATGTAGCTTTAGCCTTAAGATTCAAGGTCCACATGAATCTAGCAGCCTGTAAACACAGACAGCACCCCAGGGTGCTACCTTCAAATATTACAATGCAAAGAAAAAACACTCACCATTTCTAGGAGACATGGATGACGTGTTCTAGGTTCAAACAATGTCTGATAATTTGGGTAATTCCTTTTCCTCTTAAGGTTTTTTGAATCTTTCTTTTGGTTCTCCCACTTGGCTCCTGAGACACTTGTAACATGTTGTCTTGGACTCTTGGGAGGGCTGCTGTGAAGAGCCTGCTTTTCTGCCAGAATGTCAGCCTCAGTCTTGATGGGCGTTTCTAAGTATGTTGAAGAACAGATACACATACACATACACATACAAAGGTAAAAATGTAAACAGTAACCAGAGGAGGTATAATCTCCCAGCTATAATACTGGCTCCTAATAACTGAAGACCAAAAAAGACTTTTGCAAAGCATTTACATGAATTCCAATCTCCCCTCTCCCTACCCAAGACTAGAAGCTGTAACTGCCAAGAATTAAGAAGACCACCTCAAAAAGCTCCAGAAAGATCTCAAGGAAGGAAATCACACAAGAGAGAAATGGATCCTCACAAAGGAATGAAGAATGCTGGAGACCAGTAACTAAGCAGAAAACACAAAGACGTTCTTATTTGAAAAAAATATACACATAATGGCTATTTAAGCAAATAGCAGTGACAGAGAATTTATAAATCTGTAGAAATGAAGGCTGTGATAAGAGGAGGAAAATTAAAAGCATACTGCTATAAATGTCTAACTACATCCATAGACATTTCATATAAATGGTCTGAAGACCTCATTAAAAGGCAGGGATAGTCAAACTGGAAAAAAAGAACAAGACCCAACTATCTGACTACAAGAAAATGAACAGAAATGCAGACAATCCTTGCTTTGTACAGGGTGCACTGACATTAAATCCAAGGAACCTCACAACTGATGGACTGTCTGAATAAAATAAAATTACTGGTAGAATAGGAGATATAGCACATATGTCAATGCCAAGAAAGCTGAATGGCTGTATCAATAGCCAGCAAAAGAGACATGAAAACAAAGACGAGCACCAGGGATAAAGGACACTTCATAATGCTACAGGGTTACATTTATTAAGAACATGCAATAAACTAGGCACAATGACCCACATTTGTACTCCCAGCACTGGGGAAGATGAGGTAGGAAGATTGCCAGTTCCAGACTCCCCCGGCTACATAGTGAGATCTTGTCTTAAAAAAAAAAAAAAAAAGACGAAACTCATAAAATGGTAATTCTTCTCTTTATACATGTGTTTATTTTCTCTGTGTGTGTACATGTATATGGAATGATGAACAGCAACTATGTACATAAGCACAAAAGACATTCTCATTTGAGAATATATATAGATAAAGACTAAGTAAACAACAGTGATGTAGGATTTATAAATCTATAAAAATGAAGTCTGTGATAAGAGGAGGAAAAGTAAAAGCACAGTTATAAATGTCATATGTGCCTGAGTAGGTACCACAGCATGCACGTGCAGGTCAGAGGCCAACTTATGTAGTTGGTTCTCTCCATCCACCAAGGTCAGCAAGCTTTATATATAAGCAAGTGCTTTTACCTTCAAGAGAGTCTTGCCAGCCATCAATAGTCATTCTTTTTAATTTTTGGTCTTTCTGAGACAGGGTCTCCCTGTAGACTCAGCTGGCCTGGCACTCACTATACAGGCCAGGTGGGTCTCAATCCACCTGCCTCTGCCTCCTGAGTGCTGGGACTAAAAGTGTGTACCACCATGCCTGACTCAGTAATTCTTAATATTTTTCAATCTTCATGCAACAAAAACTCATGGAACTAAAAGAAGAAATATATAAGGACTAGCAAGATGGCTCAATCTCTAAGCTGAGGACCTAAGTTCAACTCCAGGCTAGTGAGGTAATGATGGCTGGCAGTGCCCAGGTAGCTTCAGGATGGGATTCAAGAGGCAAAGAGGACTTGCTTACTGGAAAGACCAAGAAAAAGTCTTTCAGCCCATCCTCCAGCTTCCAGGAAGCGGGGAGGGGTTGAAGGTTATATTGGCCACCTATCATGCCTACATAATGGAACCTCCATAAAAACTCAAAAGGACAGAGTTCAGAGAACTGCCAGAAAGCCACACACAGCGAGATTTCTGGAGGGTGGCAGGCCTAGAGAGGGCACGTAAGCTCAGGATTCCTCCCCCATAACTTGCTCTATGGCAGTCTTCATCTGCTGTGCATTGGTATTCTGTGTGATATTCTGAGGTGCTTCAGTAAATTAGTGAAATGTAAGAAGAGGCTTATGGGAACCTTAAGTCATAGCCAGCCACAGAAGTACAGGCACAACAATCTCAGGATTGTAACTGAAACTGGGTAAGGGCATTCTTAAGGGTTTGGGCCCTTAGCCTGGGGCCTAAAATGACTTCTAAGCAGCCAGTGTCAGAAATGAAATGAAGTTGAGGAAACTCGATGAAAGCACAGAAGAAACTGAGTTTTTTTTTTTTTTTTCCCCTGTATCTTCAGAATAACCCATATATTAATCAAAAATTAATGCACCTAAAGTATAAAGTAGTACATGAAGGCAAAGTTATAGCTTTGAGTGCTTGAATTAAGAGGTGAAAGTCTAAAATCACTGTCTAAGTTTTGACAATAATACACACAGTAAGAAAAGGAAATAAAAATGTGAAAATCAATGAATTTGACTGAAAAACTACTGAAAAATAACAAAGAAAAATCAATGAAGTCAGAATTGGTTCCGTGGAAAGACTGATATAATAAATACCCAGCAAGACTAAATAAGATAAAAGGGGTGTGGAGGGCCAATTAATATGAGGAAAAGAGAAAACATTACTATTACACCAAAGGAATAAAACAACTAGCCATATGCCAAAAATTCAATGTAGAAGAAACAGAAACTCTGATTTCTCCTGAACCTATGAAGGAAATTATATTCATGATTAAAAACCTTTCCAAAATAAAAATGCTAGGTTCAGAAAGCATCACTACTGAATTCTACAAACAAGGGTGGAAAAAAGGTAGAAATCCCAGACAAAGCCTTCAAAGAGGAAACACGGCTCATCTCATGCCAAATTCATTACAATAAAAGGTCATAGATTTAGTTAGGATCTCTTATGAGTACGGGCGCAATCTTTCTAAAATGTGAGCAAATCAAATGCATCGATGTATTAAACATCCACTACACCATGACCAAGCAGACTTTATACCACCAATACAGGTTCATGTGATACTTGAAGAATCATTCAGTGCATGTCACCATATCTTTACACTAATGCAGATAAAAACATAAATATTTGAAAATTCTGATAGGAATTTCTACCCTCTTCTCTCAAATAATGATGCTACATACATATATGCCATGAATCAGAATGATGTGTTGCTCCCCATTCTTGAGTTTTACGTAGGACTGAATGCAGAAACTCTGTATCAAAGGGACTATGGACCAAAATTTTAAAGCAGAGACTTGTATGCCAGACTACTGGGCTCAAATCACTATCACTCAATAGCGGAGGGACCTTGGGGCAAGCCATTTATCTCTGCTTCTGTTTCCTCATGTGTAAAGCACATGGAACAGGGTCTGGCATAGGTGACTACTATGATCACATCACGGATGTCTCCTCAGTGTTGAGGAAAGAGAGACATGCATTCATGGAAAGATACAGCCAAGAATCCCTGAAGTAACCTGTAGAGTTCAAACCACAGAAATAGTAATTAAAGCCAAAGTACTACTCTATTATTCCTTCCCCTTCAAGTACTGATTACTTAACCCAGGAAAACAAAAGTCAAATGAATCAGAGGTTATATGGTCAATTTTCTACTAAGGAATAAGGACAAGGGAACATTTACAGTCTCTTTCTTGAGGTTTATAACATTTACCAGATAATTATCATGTATTAATGTAAGGTTTACCAATTGAAATCAATTTTAAATACAGCTATTCAGTTCTTTTAAATTGAAATCACTCTTTGGTTTGTTACATTTTAAATCAGTTCTCAGTTTGGACGTGGTCCTGTTTGAGGAAACAGTTGTAGTAATAACCCAGGAAAAATAGCAGACCAAACCATTTGGAAATACTTCTCAATGAAGCTTTCTTTATTAATACTAATAGTGATGTCAACCCCAGATTTGAACACAATATCTTCCTTCACTTCAGTTTTTCTTGAGAGACCCATCCTTTAATCCACTATAGAGTCAACAGTTAACACTAGACATTTGCTAGTGACTAAATGGCTTGGTAAGGTTGAATTCAAAGCATGTAAAAATTATTCTTAAGACTTAAGCATATGAAACAAAGGCTTTCTTCTTAAAGCAGAGAATTTAAAATAGCATAAATTCATATAAAATCTTATATACTTTATTAGACAATAGCCTGTGTTATCTATAAAAGAAGCTATGCATTCCTTTCCTATTCAGGAAGCAAACAACACACGGAGAGGGGCTACAAGGGAACATAATGTAGCTGGCTTCTCTAGGTTTCTAAACCCCTCAATCCAGATATTTACATCGGCTCTGCTGCACACTAGTGTAACAAACTTCTCCTCTGTAAACTTAGTGCCCTATAAAATGAAGGCATGAGATCTCAAAGACTTTTCCTAGTTTCCTTTCTTTCTTCCAGTTTAAAGATAGCGGCAGCCTCAAAATGAAAGACACGAGTATGAAAAGTATTAAATGTCTTGTCTTAAGAGGGAAAGAAGAAAAGCACAAATTCATCTTGTTTTTAAGGGACTCAGTAATCTGTTAATAGTTTTCTTATCCCTTGTTACAAATACAAGTGATAGGTAGAAAATGTAATATGTGTTTAAAGAATAACTCCATTTTCATATCACTATACTGGAAACAAGAGTAAGAAATAAATACTGTTTTCCTTAAATTTATTTTTAAAGTAGCCATCTGTTAAGGAATCCTCTAATAAAGGCAACTTAGCTTATATTTCAAATTTCAAGAAGCTTTTAACAACTAACAGAATAACCCACAGCCCATTAATAAGAAAAAAATTCCCATGTTACAGATAGATACATAAACATCAAGTTTCATACTAAAGCTCAGCTTTTCTTGATTATACCCCTCCAACCCAACAAACACTGGCTATCCAAAGAGCTGCTCATCTCATTCAATTACATTTCAATCTTCCTTCACTCTACATAAACACTTTTAGTCTCTTATTCTTATCCCCAGCTCCTGCTGTTTACACACCTGCTGAGACATATATATGAATTCTCTCACACCTAGAAAAGCCTAAGCAAAATTACCATGCAGATTCAGGTTTTTGCCAACTGTACGACACAAGTTTGTTCACTAAACACACTACAATACTGATGCAAACCAGGGATTAAAACTAGTTGCATTGCATCGGAACAATAGCCTATTCACAGCACAGCTCTAGTATGTGGCCCTAAAAGAGATGCTGTAGGAGAGTAAACTGGGTTATTACAATAAACTTCACAATAAAGCCACATACTATCATCTGTGCCATCCTCTTTAATAGCATGAATGTCTCCTGAACATCACTGACTTTTCAGAAGGACTCTTGAAAGGTTTCCATTTCTTCAGTCCTTTAAAATACATAGGTTAGGGCTGGGGAGATAGTACAGTAAGTAAAGATCTACCATACAAGCATGAGGCCCTGAGCCTCAATCCTCAGCACCCAGCCAGGCTCCATGGTATGCATGGTGTGCATGGTGTGCACACATACACACATAAAAATAAAAAACCCATAGGCTAATGCAATCACAAGTATAGGGCTGCTACGTTTGCCAAGTGAGACAGCTTATGTAAGTATGTCCTTTAAAGAACACTGTTCCACACAGATTTAAATTTTATTTTGTTTCATTAGATTTTGAGACAGACTCTCATATAGTCCAGGCTGGACTCGAACTCACTGGATAGCTAAGGATGATCTTCAGCTTCTGATCCATCTCCCAAGTGTTAGGATTACAGGTATGCACATCACACCCTGTTTATGTGGTTCTAGGGCTTTGTGTATGCTAGGCAAGGAAAACCAATTGAGCTACCTGCCCAGCATTTAAATATTTTACTGTCTTTTTGCCCCTGAAATCAGACGATACTTTAAAAAATTATTCTTTTAGAATTTTTTTCAATTTCATTAGTAGAAATTTTCTCTCCTTTCCTTTTCTTTCATTATATTATATTGCTTTTTGCCTTTTTCTCCTCAAGTAGCAATACTCTTCTGTTATTCCAGCACTCCTTAATCTCAAGTCAACTTCACCTTTGAATCAAACAAAAAGGAAAGCGAAGATCAAAAAAAGACCATGCAGCCTGGCTGCTCTCCCTGTCCAGCGTGAACCTAAAGCAAACTGCAACAAGGAGGGAGGTGGGCCATAACTGACCTTCCGGCTCGCTCTCTGACCCTGAGAGACTGCCATAGCTGCTCATCAGCGAACACAAGGCGGGCGTCACCTCCTTGGGAACCACAGTCCGTGGTAGTTTCTCCTCCTTATCAGACTCTAAAATAGAAGAGGAAAACACAGATTCAAACAAGGTAGCTCAAAGCACTTACCACCATTAAAAAGAAAGCTGACTTCCACCTCCTCATTAGTAAATTAAAAGAAAAAAAGGCAATTTCTGACTATTCCCCTAGTCTTCCAAAATATGAATTCTAGGAGACCTGAAACAGTCTAGCTTGCTTTAACTCTTAGGCTAAGAAGCTCTTTACTCCAGGGGATATGAGGACAAATGAATCTACACAGCTCTGCCAGCTTACCATGCTTCAAAAGTTATGGAATTTGGGCCTCTTCTAAATAAACTTAATTACAGTCTTTGCTATTCATTTATATGCAACCAAAAATTTATTCGGCTTTTATTAGTTTAGGACCATTAACTCTGAAAATTAAATTTAGGAATAAAATATTAAAATATCTCCTTTTACTGTTTTTAAGGCAGCTTTTCAGGATCCAAATAGTATTTAAATCACTCTATGAACTTAATCAAAGAGTTTTGCTGAAATGAATCCACTCCAAACTTCTAAGAACTTGAGTCAACAAGCTGACAATGAGAAGTTAGCAAGTACTAAAGAGCCTGCCAAAGGTAAAAGGGCTTGATCACCCCCCAGCAAGTTTTACTGTAGCCTCAGGGCACCACCAATTGCATCTATTTTTGGCAGCTCTAAAAATATTAACTCTGTTTTAGACAACCCATAAAAATAAAGCCTAACTGAAGACAATAAGCAACTTATCTTTTAATTAACCAACTCAACCCACATCCAATATGGAATGTTTCAAGACTGAGCATTCAAAGTTCACCAAACTGGTCTAGGGAAACCAAAACATGCCAAAAGGAAAGAGAAATATCCCTCAATGCCAATGTGGGCCTTGTACCTCCTAAATGAGGGATAAACACATATCTACCATTCATACTACAAGCGCCACAACCCTGAAATATTAAGTATGTCAGCAACATCTAAAACCATTCCTTTTTGACTTTTATTTTTTATTTTATCTGTGAGTGTATTGCCTGCATGTAAGTAAGTGCACCTGTGTTGTGCAATGCTCTTGGAGGCCAAAAGAGGATATAGGATCACTCTGGAACTGGTGTTATAGTTGGTTGTTAGCTGCCATATGGGTGCTGCAACCCTAACCTGTATCCTCTGCAAGAGCAGTCAGGGCTCCTAACCACTGAGCCATTTCTCCAGCCTTTTTGATTTTAAGCTAGATGATTAACTCTTCTAGATTAATAAGGAAAAAGAAAACTATGCAGTAAATTATAATATTAGTGTATAATATCAAAGGTTAATAAATTCTGAGTGAGTTAAGCAGAAATCTATCATGTTAGCATGCAGTATGTTCCTCTGCTGTTTGAATGATTGAAGACCAAACAGCAGTATCTCCTTCTAAGAGCTTGAGAAAGATACCCAAAAATTTAATAGCAGATGCATGTTATGTACTGTAAAAGCATGATCTCACTTATTCTTTTTCAAAAAAGATATTTTAATTTTACTATTTTTTTTTTAAATTTTACGTGTATAAGTGTACTACCTGTGTGTCAGTGCACCCTCGTGCAACGGCCAGGGAGCTCAGAAGAGGGCATGGGATTCCCCTGGACCTAGAATTATGGATGGATGTCAGTCACCATGTGGGTGCTAGGAATCGAACCCAGGTCCTCTGCAAGAGCAGCCAGTACTCTTAACTGCTGAGCCATCTCTCCAGCGCTATCTCACTTATTAATCCTTCTGAAGTATCATATGACTTTCACAATTCTCCTGCCTCAGCTTCCCAAGTGCTGAGATAATAGGCATGTACCACCATACCCAATTTTGGTTGTTTTGTTTTATGAACCTGAAACTATGGGTTTAGGGAATACCACAGAGGATAAACCCTTTAAGCACATCCCAAACCCCTGATCGCAATACATTTACTTTGATTGTTGGATGGTCTGCCCAGTTTCTCTACATTTATAGTTACCATTTTTCTCTTCCTTTAGTCCTTAAAATGAAATCCTAATCTACACTTAATTTGAATCTCTAATTCAAGTAAAAAATATCAAAGAACTCTTGACATATGCTAAAACCACTGTAGTAATTAATAAATATTTAGGGAAGAGGTATTTTGAATCAATTCAAATATCATTTTACCTTAAAGTCTCATCATTAATTTTGCCATTCAGTACCTCTTGCCTAAAACAATTATTAGGAAGGTATTCTAATAGTTACTTTGCATTTCTCTATTTTATGTGTGTGTGTGTGTGTGTGTGTGTGTGTGTGTGTGAATTAGAATGTTTTTGTAAGAAAAATCTGCTCCTTTCCTTCCTATTTATTTATTCAAGTACTTATTTAAATCAGTATGGACTCAAAGGATACTTACTTTTGAGAGAAATAGCCCCAGACAAGTCATTTCTCTAGAAGACCTTATTTTTACTGGAGAAAAGTATTTGGAATTCATAATTCAGGTGCTAGGTATACTTATTAGGAGGATCACAAAGTTTACTATATTGACTGCCTCCCTAAAAGATAAGGCTTAAAATTGAGTATGTACCAACAAGTCTTCTCTGTTACAAATTTAAGGGCACAAGTAATAACACTTCAAAAGTGAACCAGGCATGATGATGCATGTGTGTAATCCTAGCATTCAGGAGCAGGAAGATTCTAAGGTCAACACTACCTCGGGCTAAAAGCAAAAACACTGCCTCAAAAGACCCCACAAAATCTTCTACAGTAACTTCTCGTCTCAAAAATAAGACTCGAGGCAGGGCGGGGTGGTGTATTAGTCACTTTTCTGTTGCTATGATAGAAACACTGACCAAAACAACTTATAAAAGGAAGAATTTATTTGAGCTTATGGTTCCAGGGGAATTACAGTCTGTCTTGGCAGGGAGGCATGGTGACAGAGGTGGCTGGAGAAGAGGAGCAGAAGCAGGGCTCTACATCTTCCAGCAGGCACAAGAAGCAAGAGGGTGACTGGAGATCTCGCAAGGCTTAAGAACTCTCTAAGCCCACCCCCAGTGATGTGCTTCCTCCAGGATAGCCACACCTTCTAAAACCTCCCAAAAGAGTGCCACCATCTGGGGACAAAAATGTCCAAACACTTGGAACCTATGAGGGACATTTTCATTCAAACCACCACAGGTGGGATGATGGGATCTATTATTCTCAAATTTCCTAGGATCTACGCAGCAGTTCTAATACAAACACTTTGAGCAGCACCTAACTTGAAAAGACTGTCAAAGGCATTGCACTGGCTAACAAAATAATACTCAAAAAACTAACAGCAAAAACTCACCTCATGTTCTTTAACAACAAAAACACCTCTCTGAACTATCAGTATAAACAGAGCACCAATCAAGATAATAAAAACATGCTTAGATTATTTTTATGTGTATGAGTGTTTTGCCTATGTGTATTTAAGTGCAACATATGTGTGCGATACCCTTGGAGGCCAGAAGAGGGCACTGGATCCCTGAAACTGGAGGTAGGGATGACTGTTAGCTGCCATGTGAGTGTTAGAAACTGAATTCTGGTCCTCTGCAAGAGCAGTCAGTGCTCTTAACCACTGAGTCATCTCTCTAGCTCCAAAACAAACTTTAGAGGTAAAGAAACTCATCTTACTGTTAAAACATTAGCAACATTTTTCTAAGGTAAAAAGTATTGTGCTCCCATTGACCAAAAGGAAAAAAGAAAACTGAATGTAATGATGGAAAAAGTACCATTTGACCATGAGTCTGAGCCTGTCTCTTTCTCATCAGTTTATTATAAAGGATATTACAAAATTACAGTTGAAGGGGCATGAAACTTCCATGCTCTTTCTGGGCTTGGCACCCTCTAGGATCTCCAAGTGTCCAGTTCTCTGCTCTCTGAATTATGTCCTATTCAACGTTTATGGAGGCTCCTTTACACAGGCATGGCTCATGGAATCACCGACCACTGGAGATCAAGGTAACCTTTAGCACTTCTCCCTTCCCTGGAAGCTGGTATGAACAAGCCTCACTCTGAAGCCACTATGACTGCCGGCCATCTCAGACTCTGTAAGCAGTCTCCTGAAAGCACAGAGACTTCTTTGAAATCCCCACAATTTCTTTCTACTATAGTGCTGCACAAGGAAAATGTAGGACCTTATAAATCTCTTTTGAAATGAAAACAGAAAACAAAATATCCCTTGAATATACTGTCTTATTTTAGTGTAGCTTCCTATCTGGTTTCTTTCTGAACTTCTTTGTATACATGGCACTGACCCCACTATCTGACACTGCCTTTAATGAAAAACAATCATACACTCTAGCCCCAAGATTCAGAAAGACAGTAACTAAAGAAAGTGCTATGAACTAGAGATGTAGCTCTGTGTACCATGTAGAACACTTGCTTATTATCGTGTTCAAGAGCCTTGGCTTGATCCCTCCACAGGGAGAGGGGGAAAAAAAAAGCTCTGTAGATTGTTAACAGCCATCTGTAATAGTGCCCTCTTCTGACCTCTATAGGCATTGCATGACATGGGTGGAACTTAAGCAAAACTCATATACATTAAAAAAAATAATAAATTTTAAAAGATATATTTTGAAGATGCACACCTATCACTCTCCATAGGAACTTTACATTAGCCTCTAACTCAAGAAGAAATTTAATGATGGGTATTAATAATTTTTTTTTAAACTTTACTTTAAGAACTACCTTTTAAAAAGTGCAGTGCAGGGACTGATATCCCAGTGCTCTATGAGAATAACTTTATTTATATCATAACAAAAAGCTAACAAGTTGGATTATCTTTGTTTTTTTTAGATCCCCAGCACTTCAGGCACAGAAATTTGAGGTCACTTTACTGACCAGCTGCTTTCTTTCTAATTCATACAACAGACTTATTGCTTAAGGAAAGGCATAAAACTTATGATTTGAATTTTTTTTTTTTAACAGAGAAGAACAAACCCTTGAGAAGACTACTAAGTGGAAGATAAAGGAAATCAGACAATGCTGGTAAGGAATCAGAGCTGACAAAAAGCCATATTCAAAGCTGATAAGCTGGGAGGCCCCAATGACTGAAACACATCTTCTCCCGGTTTAAAGCAGCTACACAATTCTGAGCGTCACACACCATAGGTCCAACAGAGAAACTGAGTTGGCAGTGTTTCCCTAAAGTGCAAGCAGAGACTTATTACCTTGTCAAAATATGAATGCTAACATCTGGATTAAGTTCTGAGGCAGAAAAAGGTTTAAAAAAAATGGAAAAAACGGAGAACTTTACTCTTTAAAGCAAGTTTAGTGCTGAAGTGTGTCAGCTACCACGGGAGAGTATGGGACAGTGCTATCACCAGGCCAACATCACTGGCAACTAGAAAACCCAGGTGTTAAAAGTTGGGTGGCTCTGGCCCAGGGTATGAGAAGCTGCTTCCATAGAGGTGGAAGGGCCAGCCATGGCAGCACACACCTGTAACACCAGCACCAAAGAGGCTAAGCAGGAACATCAGTCGCGTTCAAGCCCAGTCTGGGCTACACAGTAAGAGCCTGTCACAAAACAAAACAAAACAAAACAAAACAAAACAAAACAAAACAAACAAGGGGCAAAAAATATCATTTGCCTTTTCCTTGCTCTTAGCAAAGATAAGGAACTTTTTCTTTGATTTATTTTTATTTAGGGTGTGGACAGAGTTGTTAGGGATTGACCCAGACCTTTACATATACCAGGAAAACAAGCACTCTACCACTGAGCTATACCCATAGCTAGAAAGGGTCTTTTGTAAACTCTCTCCCACATCTCTACTATCCTAAACTTACAGGTATTTTTCAGAAAAATTCCAACCTTACATTTAGGAGACACATAGGGTATCAGTGGAGTCAAGCTCCTGAATTCAAATTCTGGCTGTCACCAGCTAGCAATGTGACTAAAGCAAACTACTAAGTCTCTATAGCCTACATTTCTAAGATGGAAGCCATAATATTCCTGCACAAAAGGCCATTTGAGGAAAAGGGTTAACATATATAAAGCATATGGAGCACAGCAAGCACCTTACTTAGAAGTGGTAGTTGAGCCTAATTTATTATCACCATTCCTATTACATCTTATCATTGTATATATGCCTAGTACAACATTCCACTGTGCCGAGATCCTTCTCCAATATTCAGTTGATGAAATGGTTATCACATTTCTCACGATCTACATTTCAATAATTTGCCATGTGATTATTATGGAAGCAATTGTCACCTGAGCTGAACAGACTGGAACCAAATCTAGAGTACCACCTCAGTCAATTCACTTCTCCTCTGCAGTAAGAAGTGTCTGTCATATGCTAAAAGTCTCCCAATATTACTGGACAGAAGAGCACTACAAATATTCATGGATACATTTTCATTTTCCTCAAGGGGAAATGGAGTCTTTAAAGCTAAATGACACCTTCATATGACAGCAGTATTTTGGTGCTTTCATTTTTTGATTTGTAGGCAGGAGTGAACTATCCTTCATGTCCTAGAAGGAACTCAAGGATAAACTATAAAAACATGTAACATAACATTTCTGTTATGAGGAAAATTATATCACAATACACTGAACTAATACCATCTGCCCAAAGAGATGATGCTTGTTTTCAGTAACATAAATACAAGCTTCCATAGAATTATTGCTTTGTGGATGGTGTGTGGGGGATCCAAATGATCAGACAAATTTGCATTTATGTCAATTCGAAACAATCTTTCTTTTTTTGGTCTTTTGAGACAGGGTCTCCCTATAGCCCCAGCTGGCCTAGAACTATGTAGACCAGGCTGACCTCAAATTCACAGAGATTCGCCTGCCTCTGCCTCCCAAGTGCTGGGACTAAAGGTGTGCACCCACCACGCCTGGCTCAAAACAATCTTAAGACAACTTCCCAATATTATGATATTTTGAAAATTATCCAATAAATATAATGTTTGTCTCAAAGCCTGCCTGCACCATATACCCATCCCCAACTCAGGAAAGTTACTTTGAAACAAGGTTTTTGACAAGATAATAAAAAGTTAAGCATTACTATATTTTAAGTATTTGAATTTTCCAAAGGCTACAGACAAGCCCCTAAACATCAGAGCGGATACAGTTACAAGTTTAGCTTACCAGAGTCACTATTTATCAAAGCACCCAGAGGATCTGCATTAGCCTGAGGCAGAGCTTGAGGCTTGGAACCGCTGGCTGATCCAATGACTGCTCTCTGCCTAGCACCATTGTTTTTCCATTTGCGATGTCTACCAGGACTTCTGATTTTTGAGTGTCTGGACATGCCTTTCATCTTGCTAGAGTTTAAAAAAAAATTTAATTCTTATTATAAAAGGCTTTTCCAAAAAAATCTTTCTAAAACAATGCAAAAGAAATCGAGATGTTAAACCAACCACTCATGGTCTAATACATTAAAGAGACAAAACAAAGAAATCCAACTGTTCCCAAAGAGAAGGCTACTTGAAAGGCCAACACCCACAGCGAACACTTCATTCATTCTCAGCTACACATTTCCACTCCTGCTTTCACCCCTCTGAAATTGGGCAGTGTTGCACAACCATCCACAGATCATCAGAGCTTTCACATTCTTTCATTCACATACTGCACATGAAAATGTGCCTGAGAGCTTACAAGGGTCATTCATTCTTATCTATTCATCTTTAATGAGCTTCAGTTTCCAAAGCATTTTTGAGTTTGCTACCTTCAGCAGACTCTCTACAAGAAATATTAAAGTCCTACAAGCAGAAGGAAAACAACACCTAATGGACCTACACAAAAGAATGAAGAATACCAAAACAGTAGCCATTCGACTATCCTAGCCATTAGCTAACCAGCCCTCAGCTGTGTTGGAACTGTTTCAGGATCAGCAGATGTGTCCGACACCTAGCTGACCCCAAATGCCTATGGCAATTACTTATCTTTGTTCAGAAATAATTATTTTTAAAAAAGATACCCACTAAGAGCAGAAAGGCAAGCCAGGGATTAAGAGATGACTATAATATATACATTCCATTTCAAGAAAAATGTATATCAAAGTATATAATTCCTACAAACCAAGAAAAGCAACCCTTTTGGGGCTGGAGAGACAGCTCAGTCATTAAGAGGACTTACTTAAGCTTTTGCAGATGACCGGAGTTCAGTTCCCAAATCCACATCAGGTGGCTCACAGCTGCCTGTAACTCCAGCTCCAGGGGATATGATACCCTCTTTTGGCCTCTGCAGCCACCATAAAAATGTGCACAAACCCACAAAGACATACACATAACTAAAAAAATAAAGTCTTAAAAAAAAAAAAAAAACAGAAACACAACCCCAATTAAAAACCAGTCAAACACTTGAAGTAGTATATCACAAAAGAATATCCACATGACAGGATATTCCACTGTTAGTCATGAGGGAAATGACACAAAGGAAAGGTGCAACACTACCAGACGGAGCCACAGATAAGAGAGCAGATGCAGTGAGCAGAAGTGTGAATTAGCTTAACTACTTAACAAACTAGGCACATCTACTAAGGCTAAAATATAGATACCCTATGACATACCTTCTACTAAATGAAAAAAATGGGTATTAATGTGCACAGAGGACATGTAAAAGAAATGTTCATACCAATTTAATCATAATAGCCCAAACTGAAAGCAACCCAGTATCTACCAATAGAATTCATATGCTTTTTTTTTTTCCCTTTGGTATTTTTGAGACAGGATCTCCCTGTAGAGCCAGCTAGCCTAGAACTCATTCTGTAAACCAGGCTGACCTCAAAATCAGAGATCCGCCTGCCTCTGCCTCCCAAGTGCTTGGATTAAAGGCGTGCATCACCACACCCGGCTGTTCATATGTATTCTTACAACTGAGTTTTATGCAGCAGTACGAATTGTTTCACAATCACATATAACATGGATATATCTCACAAAATAATTTTGAGCCACAGAATCACATACTCAAGAATGTATGCTGCATGATTTCATTTATATAACTCTAAGAACGGGTATAATTTGTGATAACAGAATCTAGAACAGGAGCTGGGTGTGGTGGTACACGCTTTTAATCCCAGCACTCAGGAGGTAAAGGAAGGCAGGGCTCTGTGAGTTTGAGGCCTACCTGGTCTACATAGCACCTTCCAGGCCAGCCAGAGCTACATAGTGATATCCTATCTCAAAACAAACAAAAACAAAGCAAACAACAACAACAAAAAACCCAGACCAAGGGCAACCAGTGTTGGGGAGGCACTGAACAGAGGGCTTCTGTACCATGTTCTGTACATTAATCTGTGTGGTGATTAAAGGGATGTGATATGGGTAATGTGTGTGTATGATTTCATCAAAATGTATATTTTTGCATATTTTATTTTTATTTGCATATTTTAATTATAAGGTCAGTAAAAGTAAAATGGGAAAAATTCTGGAAAAAAAAAAAAAAGAGGGAAAGAAAACACCCAATAGGATAGCAAACTGGTCCAGCTTGACATAACTGTTAATACTGCAAGTGCACTTATCTTTTGACTCAGCAAATCCATTTCTAGGACTCCATCCTCAGAAATACTTGTACAAAATTACTATGTAAATATTATTAGCTGGGCATGGTGGCATGGTAGTACACACCTTTAATCCCAGCACTTTGGAGAGGCAGGCAGATCTCTGTGAGTTCAAGGCCAGTCTGGTCTACATAGTGAGTTCTAGGACAGCTGGGGCTACAGGGAGACCCTGTCTCAAAAAGGCCGGAAAAAAAAAAAGAGAGAATTATTATATACTATATATTATTGTGTAAAAATATTATGAACAAGAGCAATAATGGCCATGTTTTATTAGTAGGCGATTGACAACAACTTGAATACCAATAGGAAAATTGGCTAAAACAACAAAGCACTGTGGGGCATCTTTAATTGTGCTGCCCACACATCCTTGAAGAATTCGGTTTGAAGCTGGGTATGGTAGTCCACACTATAGTCCCAGCACTCTGGTGGCAGAGGCAGGCGGATCTCTGTGAGTTCAAAAAAGAAGAATGCAGACTGGGGCCTGGAGAGATGGCTCAGCGGTTAAGAGCACTGGCTACTCTTACAGAGGACGTGGGTTTGACTCCCAGCACCCACATGGTGGCTAACAACCATCTGTAATTCCAGTTCCAGGGGATCCAACATGTTCTTCTGACCTCCATGGGTATTGCATGACACAGGTACACTTACATACATGCAGGCAGTACATGCATACACACAGATAATAAAAATAATAATAATAGAAAGAAGGTGGTTTGTCACATCCCCAAGTAAAATTTTGATTGTGTGAAAAAGCACAGTGCAGAACAGTGTCAAAGACAGAGAGACCGCATCTATTGACTGCATGCTGTGAGGACAACTGGGAGACAAAGGCTGAAAGGACTGGTTCAGTACCTAGCTTTTAAAAAAAATCACAGGTGCAGGGCTGGAGAGATGGCTCAGCAGCTAAGAGCACTGACTACTCTTGCAGAGGACCCGGGTTCGATTCCCAGCACCCACATGGTGGCCACAAACCATCCTTAACTCCGAAACCCTCATCTGACCTCTACGGCATTGCACGACACGGGTGCGCTCACATACATGCAGGCATTGCACTCATACATATAAAGTAAAAATAATAAATATTTTTTTAATTTTTTTTAAAAAAAATCACAGGTGCAGAGGGTAACAATTAAGTTTAAGATATAATTTTAAAAATTTAAAAGCAAAAGTTACAGCATTCAGAATGGGTAAGATGCTGGGTTTAGGTTGCTTTTTATTACTTCATGGGCATCTGCAGTTAAAAGCACACTGAGAAGGCAAGCAGTAAGGGCCTTACCCATACTGAGTGGTCGTCAATACTTCTCCCCTCTTCTCCTTCTCAAGTTTTAACTTTTTCTTTCTTTCAATATTAGCCAGAGTTGGGTAGTTTCTAGAAAACAAAGGTTAATTATAAAAGATTATCAAATCACTACAAACTTTCAACTGCTTCTAGAATTTAAGAAGGGTAAAATGTAGTTTCTGAATCAATGCTACTCAAAATGTAGACCAGATGCCGATCCACAAACTTTGTGACCAGTTTGCAACCAGATAAAAAGTTTATGCTTCAAGTAAAATTCAATATATCATATGACATGTGCAAACTCATCTAATTTCTCTACCCACAAGTAACTGAATAAACAATTTAAGTCTAGTCAATTACTTTTGCAAATACATGCTTGGCACACTCAAAGTCACCAAGATAAGAAACAGTTCTCAAAAAACATAATCGATTAAGGAGAATAGGAAAAGCATACCAATAACTGTTAAGTGGGACAAAACAGGTACCCAGAAGAGGGAAGATTTTTCCTTTGGGCATGAGATCATGTCAAAATGAAAAATTCCAGAAAGAAAGGAACATGAAGCAACTTGGTCTGAAATGGTATTAATGGACAGTAATTAAACAGAAATGCTTTGGAGTGTTCTAAGTAAATCAAGTCAAACAAATCAAGACCAGAGAAAGTATGAGAGCTATCCAGGGCATCACTGTGTAGAAAACATAATATAACCACAGGGAACTAGTAACAAAGGAAGCCTGGCCCAAAATGTGCCTAGAAAGTTTGTATTGAATTCAGAAGGTGATGGGAAGCTCAGAAAGTTCTAGACAGGGAGAGACATGTACAAGGCTGTAAGATTAAATCTGACAGAAACATGCAAAATGAATTGCTTTCTTTGGCTCTTAGCACAGCTGTGTGGAGATGAAGACCCTAAAGCCTGATGAGGAAGACAGATTTCACAGTATAAAAAACATGAAAGAAGGGAACAGAGACAGTTCTCACCACTTAGGCTGGCTGCTCATCAGGGGAAATTTCGAAAAACACCAACAAACTGTGCTCTGCCATGGCTTCTAGGATACTTCTCTACCTTCTTCTTTTAAACATGTGCATTACTGCACTGGAGAAGTAACTCGGTGGTAGAGTGCTTGCCTAGCATGCACATGGCCCTAAGTTCAATCCTCTCAGTATCACTGAAAATCTAAAACGCATCTCTGGATGGAAATGGCACTGGGTAAATGGTAAAGTAACCAGAAAGAAAGGGCAATGAATTTCAATAAGGACACTACAAAGCTTATAGCCAACCAAGAAAAATAACCTCCATAAATAAAAGATGGTGAATGTACAAGCTATAAATAAACCTAAGAGGAAAAGATCAAGGTCATATGAGATGAGTATCTGCCAGTCCATCAGCAACACATGACTATACTTGTAAAAAACAAACACTATAGGAAGTAAACGCTTGACACTTGTACGTGTACAAAATCTTCCTTGATACTCAAAAATGATCAGCTATTCTTAGGCACTGTGTCAGTTTGGTTAAAAAAAATGCTGAGAAAAAAAATAAAATTTGGAAGGAACTCAGAAGAGACTCAAAAAATGATTAAGGCGGTAAAAACTAAAACCTCTGAAAAAAGATGGAAGGAACTATTTGCAGTCTGCCAAAGAGAAGTGACAATAAAACAGCATCCCAGGGAAATGTGAGGCAGCAGTTTTCCATCTGAAGACAGCATACAGAAAAGCTGGAATGTCGGAAAGCATGAGATGATGTTCACAGGCCCCAAGGTGACTAGGCATGGAGCTCAGAGCTACCCAACCCCCTCCATACTCTATGCTCACTTGATTTGTATTTTTAAGGAAAGATCTCATGCAGTCCAGGTTGGCTTCCAACTCCTTATGGCTAAGGATGACCTTGAACTTCTGATTCTCCTTCCTCTACCTTCCTAGTTTGGGGACCACAGGCAAGTGTGACCACATTCAGTTTTTAGGACTTCATGTATGATAGGTAGACATTCTACCAACTGAGCCCAACCCTTGCTCTTGTTGTGTCTACTGTGTTCTTTCTCTGAATGTTACAGACTCTTAATTTGGTGGACAGTACAATTTGATATTTGACAATATGGTTTGACTTCAGTGTACCATGTACAAGCAAACAGATGCTAAGTTATGTCTCATTAAATAGCAAAGAATTTAAACACTTGTTATAACAAGTGGGCTTTAAGTAAGATAGACAAATTCACTAAATGAGACACTGAAGATGTGGAAAAAGTCTTTTTTAAGATAGTTAACTTAGGGCTGGAGAGATATTTCAATGGTTATGAGCACCTGCTGCTCTTACGAAGGACTTGAGTCCAGTTCTCAGCCATGTTGAACAGCTTATGACTGCCTGTAACTCCAGCTCCAGGGGATCTGACACCCTTTTCTGGCCTCCCTGTGCATCTGCACTCATGTGGTATACACATATATACTTGGGCACACACACATACATAAAATGAGTAAATCTTTTTAAAATAGCTTAACTTTCTCTAATAGGTTAAAGTAAATGTTCATAAAGGTAAGGAATCTTTTTAAAATTTATTTGTGTGTGAGTGTTTGCCTGCATGTATATAAGTGCACCACATGCATGAAATGCCTGTGGAGGCCAGGAGAGGGCACTGGATCCCCTGGAACTGGAGTTATGAATGGTTTATTAGATGCCATGTGAGTGCTGGGAACTGAACCTAGATCCTCTGCAAGAACAGTCAGTGTTCTTAACTATTGAGCCATCTTTCCAGCCCTGAAAAAAAAATCTTTTAATGTACCTTCCAGTCACAAGATTTTACTTTTCAGAATTGAAATTGATATTCTTCCTAAATTTCTACTATTCTTGGGGCCAAGAGTACAGCTCGGTGGTTGAGCACCCACCCAGCATGTGCAAGGTCTTGGATTTGAGCCACAGCCCTGCAAATCAAAACTAATGCCAAAGAAACTAGACCAAAATTTATACCATTCCTATTTATCCAGAGCCTAGAGACCAAAAACTAGAGAAAATGAAGATATTAGAAACTAAATGATCTGCCAAAAGAGGAAACCAAAAATATGAGTCCTAGTTACACACACAAACAGCAATCAAGAAGCCTTTCTCCACCAACACAAACCTGAGATATCAGAATAAGAAATAAAAAGGTCTGGTAAAGGGCACAGTTCAACTTCCTAAGGGACACTTGAAAAAATCAAAACCATTATGGGGAGGTGTCACAAATTATGCCTTATACTATATAGTCACACAGAGCTATAACAGCACAGTGCCTCCCACTACAGAAGGGATGGCAGGAGGCTACAGAGACTGTGATAAGGGTTCTTGTCTGTTCTCTCTATACTTCTATCTGCTAAAATCACTTTTTCTCCCTCTAACCTGTCCTCACTATCCCAAGAGGATTTGGTCCTGAAGCCAAATGCTGTTCTTTTTCCTGTTCTTCCATTTCTTACCTCCTGCTGACTTGTCCCTTGCTTATGCCTTACAGTGACAATCCTTAAGGACTACAGAGACCACAAAAGGGCATAACTGCCAAGTATGATCTCAGCACATATAATTCTGGTTACATTATTCCCTCCAACTTTCTCCTCATTCTCAAATGACTCGCCACCTATCGACTTCTCCTAGGCCTATTCTCTGTAAAACACAACCTCCTTTTCACTCACTGAAACAAAACTGCTTTTACACAAGCTTATGCCACTGTATTTTAATTTCAAAGTCTTCTGAATTTCAAAAGGGTGTAACATTATTAGAGCAGACAGCCTCTGCTGGAATTCTGAATGTACTGGGAACACAAATTAAAAAAGACTTCCTGCACCACAGTGAGCACTGAAATAAACATTAATAAACATTAGAAAACTACTCCACCTAATGGACTCCTAGCCTCTTGGAAGTAGGCTCCACTTTCTAAAAGCATTTGTACCTCAGGTCAGGAATTAAGAATTGTCTTTTAAAAGCTAGGCATGCCTTAATCTCAGCACTGGGGAGGTAGAGGCAAGTAGATCTCTCTGAGTTCCAGGCCACTCAGAGTTACATAGGGAGACCCTGTCTCAACACAACAACCAAAAAAAAAAAAAAAAAGAAAGAAACTCTTAAACAAAACCACTTTTTGAGGTGTGCTTTGCTTTGTTGGGGGGGTTCACCATTTTTTAAGCACAGTGGTCCCCCCACCCCCCACCCCGAGTTTGGCTAATCTGGAATAAAAACAAAACAGAGATAATGGAATTAAAAATAAAGATATAATTTCTTTTAAAATAAAAGCACTACAGCAACCAAATCCCTAACATTTTCTTCCAGCTTTAAAATTCTTACTCCATGAAACCTTTTATAAGGTTTTCTTTCTAACACAGTAGCCACATAAAGACACGAACTTCCCAACAGGTCAAAGAACACAACTGGCTTCCTCAGAGAGAATACAACTCTCAAAAGAAAGACAAAACTCAAGAATAAGGAGTGTTTTATCATACCACTGTGGTATTCTTTTCATGAGTGGAAGTAACATTTTTCAGAAGTTGAAATTAGATCAATGTTAAATATATATTTGTGTGAAAATGCCCTTACACAAACACAGTACAATGTACAGTAAATATAATGCAATGAATTTTTTTTTTCTTTTTTTGGTCTTTTTGAGACAGGGTCTCCCTGTAGCCCCAGCTGGCCTGAACTCCCTATGTAGGCCAGGCTGGCCTTAAACTCAAAGAACCACCTGCCTCTGCCTCCCAAATCCTGGGATTAAAGGCATGGACCACCACATTCAACAATGCAATGAAAATTTTAAAATAAAATTAAAACTAGGAACCTAGAAATAGTTTTTTAGAAATTACTGTGAAATTCTAATGGGGAGAGTATGTTTTTGAAAAATCTGTCAAAGAAATCAAAATAAAAGAAATATTTCCCATGTTTCTTTTCTTTTCTGTTGACCCACCCCATTTCTTCTCCCTCTTCCCCTTCTAGAAAAAATCTTGCTGTACAACCCAGACTGGCCTCAAACATAGTTTCCCACCTAAGCTCCAAAGTGCTGGGATTACAAGTATGCATCACCACACCCAGTTCCCATATTTCCTACTAATGACATGGATTACAAACACTTCAGAGTATGTTAAG